CTGCTTTTCCAACGATTTATGGTGCGTCCATAAATCCATGGGGTCGACTGGCTCTGTTTCTTCTCATCAGATTCGGACGAAAGTGTGCTATTTTCTGACAACGTAGATACGAGTTTTTTTTTAATGTGATTCAATGCCCTAGAATAAGCTACTGGGTCAATGAAGTGGATGTTCTTAAACCTCGGATCCAAGAACATCGGTATAACTAGCAAATGAACCTGTTCCCTGTCTTTGAATCCAAGTTCAAACTCTGTTTGAAGTGATGCTTTCAGATTTTTCCTTAGGACTAGGTTTGTGGATCCCAAATTAATGAATTTTTGAAAACAGTTAATCAATGGTATATCCACACTGGTCGTTATATACACATCTCCTGAAAATTCTCTTGTTAGGCGTTCTAAATTTTGAAGCAAATTTTTCACTTCCTTTGCGCTTTCTAGCTCAATGGCTGTCAACATGGACGGGGATTACGGTTTTGACAGAAGAATGCTGCTTATTACTGTTGACAAAGTCGAGAAACTTTTCTATCATGTAATAAGTTGAGTTGCAACGTGTTTTCACATCCAGAACTACTTAAATTATTTCTCCCTAGAAACCGCAGTCTTTAGAAATTCTCTTGTCTATCTGAATGTAGCATTTATAATTGGGATCCTTAAATGCTCCACAGGGGTGACAATATACTTCTCCTTACACATGAGCCAATGGCGTTTAGTTAGAAATATCATTTTTCGCAACCCCTGCAGAACTTAATTGTTTTACAAACTTTTCTCTGATGGGCAATAAAACACCGTTCATTATTAAAAACTGTTACAATAGCGACATGATGTACCTCCATTTTCCTCTACACAAGTAGGTGAGATGACGTGACAAGATGGACAGATGTTCTAGCAGCGGTGCTCACCTTTATTCTCATAGGGTATGTGACATGCGTCAAAAAAGTAACTACAGGCAAAAGCGGCTGTTTTACTTGTTATAACATTGTAGTGGTTATCATGATACAATAAGTTGATCCAAGGGCGTAGCCAGGATTCTTTGTTAGAGGGTGCTGATATCTATATAATTAATACGCTACATGAAACTTTGTCGGTTGAACTCCTCCGCCATTTCTTAACCGATTTTATCCATTGACGTCTCATTGGAAAGAGCGTGTCGCGTAGATTTGCAAACTGGCCTTACATTTTTGAAAGAGTCCCTTGGGCTCTGCCCCAGTGGCTTTGAAAGATCCCATGTTATCCTTATGAAGAACATAATTGTTTACATTTTGATCAGCTGTATAATTTAATTGCTGTTATTTATTTTTCAATTCAATGAAACGCATTGAGTACATTATTTACTATTTGAGTTTGTGTAAACATAACCCCCAAGACGGATCGTATTACTATGGTTGTTGTATCTTAAATTTGTGTATTTATCGTTGTTTTGTGTCGCTATGACGGATCGAGTTAGGATGATTGTAACTTAAATTTGTGCATTTATCGTTGTTTTGTATAGCTATAATTTGTTTATTTGTTGTATTTCCTTTTAAATGCCTCCGACGCGACGACAACGAAACATAGACAAGAGGCGTAATCGTGATAACGACCGCAGCTACAGAACAGTGGCGCGTAAAGGGCGTTATTATACATCGATGGTAGGCTTAACTCATCACAGTCAGCACCTGACCCTGGACAATCTCAACTATTAAGTTACAAATGCGCCCTAACACTACCCCAAAACGACTTTTCGTTCTCAATTGGCCCTCTATCAGTGACCTGTATTGCCTGTACAACGAGGCACTTTGAGAAGGAGAAAATCGGCCGGAATGCTTTAGGTTTATCAACAACGAAGATAAATATGATCTGAGTTACACACTGGTAATCTTTGAGTTGACTCTTTTAAACTCATTGTAAATATGACTGTTATTCGTTTTGAAATAACTCCTGTAATACTTTGCAATTGCTCGAATTCGAGCAACATGTACACTAGTGTATGGATGAGCAGGGGGTTTGGGGGGCCGTTCCCCCAACTAGTGGGGGGTCTAGCGGTGGTTCCCCGGAAAATGTTTGTATATTTTAGAGCCAAGTTGTGGGTTTTAAGGTGATTTGAGCGTTAAAAATCTCTTATTTCGATTCATTACGGACCATAGGATAATGTAAGACCGAAGGGTAAAACTTTGTGCCTTACCTTTACCGTTCGACTATTAACCATATATTACTAACACAGTCAAATTCATTTGGATGAAAATACTAACTAAAAATGAGATATTTATTAAGTTTAAAAAAGTTAACATTGATATTGCGTTGATGGCATGATATCAAAAACTACAAGAGAACAAGCTTCCTGGGCAAGCTGGCCAATTACATCCGGTACTTGTTCTGGTGAAACACTGACATTGCCGTAGTGAATGGACAAGAGTGCAAGATCAGTTAATCTTTCGTAATTCATCCTCTTTCTTAAGTAGGTTTTGATTCTCTTCATTGATGAAAACGATCGTTCGGCTGTGCATGTTGAAACTGAAAACAAAACAAATGATTAATGAAGACTTCAGGCTATGCTTCATAAAATAAAATTGTGTTTTTTTATGTGATTTAATAAGGGTTTGATTATAAATTCATAAAAAGATAGGCATCAAAGATAAGTCAAGAATTACGGGCCCCGTATCTTAAAAGAAAGTTTGTTATTTATTAAAGGCACTTTACTGAAAGAAATAACAATTTTCAACAGTTATATTAGTTAATAGTTTTTGGGGAAAGTCTTATAAATTAAAAAGCCTGAACCTTAATATTAACTGAACTTACCTGGAAGTGTTACCAAGATTTTAAGCAAATGGTGAATATGTGAACTGTGAACCTTGTCGCAGTTATCCAGACATTCGGAAATAGAAGGAAATTTCTTCTTTGTCACCACCTCTTTTTCCCATTTGTTTGCACCATAGTAGGTACTCTGCTTTAGCTTCTGATTCAGCAGCAGCCCCGTCTTCAAAATAAAGGGAAAGTTTATCTATCTCATCAACATCATTTCTGGATGCATGGTTTGGAAGTATAACTCGTAGTGCATTTAACACATCATCCTGGCCAATACTGAATCTGCCTTTGGGGTGAACTAATAAGTCGTCCAATGATGGAAAAAAATAGTTCGTCTAAAACACTCCTCAACATTATCATGAGGACAGTTTTCTCTGTTAGTTTGCCTTCCCGCCTGTCTAGGCACCTTCAATTCAGCGTCAAAATAGACTTTATGAGTCTTAGAAGCTGATTCAAACAACTTGTGAAACTCAACATCAATGTCATCTCTCAAAACCTGCAATGTCTCAATGACAGAAGTAGTAGCATATCTATACAATGAGCTTAAATCGGCATCTGGACTCTTACTTTGAAAGAGGCAAAGTATAAGTAAACAATTTTTCGCAAGTCAAGAGGGACAACAAAAAGTCACTTTTCTCCATAACAGCATATTGTTATGGAGCCGTTGTTATGAAGCCGTTCCACTTGCACGAGATGATATGGAACGGTTACACTCTGATAGATCGAACAAGCTGGGGACAATGGCTTCATAAAGCTCAACAAACACTGTCACTGCGTCGTGTCTCTCAATGAACCTAGTTTCACAAACACTGAGCAACTTGGTTTTTTGCTTTCTGGAACCTACATTTTTATATTTAAGTCCCCAGCATACGCATTATTTCTGAATAAGTTACAAATTTCTTTCAAGGTGCCAAGACAGTTTCTTAAATGTTTCTTAAGCTGATGATTTTTTTTTTTAAGCTGATGACAATACAAGATTTAACCTGTGAGACACGCAATGAACGTAGGTTGCTTTTGGGTAGAGTTGTTTTATTTTGGCTTGTACGCCGTTAAATTGCCCACTTATAGTACTAACTCGCCTTTGGCTCGCTGGGGGCTCCGCCCCCAGGCCCCCTAGCTGTTAGTCGTCATTAGTAGATTAGAGTTAAGTTGGGGCTCCGCCCCCAGGCCCCCTAGCTGTTAGTCGTCATTAGTAGATTAGAGTTAAGTTGTAACAAAGCAAGAAGTGAAACCGTCAATATTAAGTTATATAAGTTAACTTCGAGTAAGATAACTTCGAGCTTAAGGAACACCTCATAAAAAAATCATTTTTTAAGTTGCGGTAAGAGAGTATGTTAGTTAAGTATTTTTACAACTGAGTTGTTGGTCAAAATTACGTTGTATAAAAACAATTTTACGAATATATTAGAAAGCCCCTTATACAAAAATCGTGGGTAAAGTTGCGGTAAGTGAGTATGTTAGTCAAGTATTTTTACAATTGAGTTTTTGGTCAAAGGAAGTAATAATATGAGGAGAGAAGGGTTCGTTATAGTGAAAATCGACATTAAAGTAATAACGATTTCATGAATTTATTAGAGGAGATTGATAAGTTAATAAGTTGATAATAGTAAAGTATTATATGAAGTAAATAGATTATAGTAGATATTCAAGTATATAATTACGAAAATAGATTAAGTAAGGTTTGTTTCCCTGTCGGTTAGCCATAAACTTTATGGCATATCCAGTTCCGCCACGAGGAGGCCAGAAAACGTCGGAACCATATTTGCAATTATTTGAATATGTACAAGTTAGTAAACTTTTGTACAAGATAAGTAAATTGATATTGATGTTCATTGATAGGTTAATAAGTTGATAATAGTAAAGTATTATATGATGTGAATAGATTATAGTAGATATTCATGTATATGTGATGTAAATAGATTATAGTAGATATTCATGACGTATATATTTATGAAAATAGATTAAGTAATGTTTGTTTCCCTGTCAGTTAGCCATACAATTTATGGCATATCCAGTTCCGCCACGAGGAGGCCAGGAAACGTCGGAACCATATTTACAATTATTTACAAATTTACAAATTAGTAAACTTTACTAACTACTTTATACAACAACGGGGACTTTTGATAAGGCAGGCCCCCTATCGTACTGCCGATGTTGTCAAGTCACAACGGGGAGTTTTGATTAAGCAGATCCCCTAGCCTACTGCTAATGTCAAATCAGGTTTAGAGAAGGAGATCGCCATACACGATGTTCTTTGCGTATGCGATTCCATCTCGGACACGTTCGGGGTGTACGAGAACAACAATATGGTCTGGATGCCTGACCCTACTGAGCAAGACGTATAGTTGCCCGTGCGTGAAGCAATCGGTCCGTAAATCAACACCGACTGAATCTATTGTCTGACCTTGGCTCTTGTGTCCGGTCATGCAATAGGCCAACATCAGTGGGAACTGACGTCGACGAACACGTAACGGCGAACCCTCGACAAACGCAAAAGTAAAGGTAATCCGGGGAATTCCGATAGGTTGCGTCTGTCCGGGAAGTCTCGCTGTAATCAGGCGGTTGGTGATGCCGATTACGATGACTTTAGTGCCGTTGACGAGTCCTTCAGCGATGTTGAGGTTCCTCATAATGAGGCAAACAGAGCCGATCTTCAGCCGCAGAACATGGTCTGGTACGCCCTTGCCAGTAGCCGTGTTCAGGAGTTGAACGTCGACATCCAGGCCATCGTCGTTCTCTCTGTCAACTGTGTCGGCGCTCCTCAGCTCGTACAGATGACCGTCTGTTGTAAGAAAGACTTAAAACCAAAAGTATGGCTTTTATTCATTCAAAATTACAACCATGTTTTAGTTAAGAACAAATACAATATTTACAAACAAATCAAATAATAAATATTATCAGGTGATAATGTTCACATCACCACATTCTCCCCCACTAGTTTTCAAGGTAGGTATAGCAAATGTAATCCTTTAGATATGACGGAGGCTTGACATTCCTCTTTGGACGTAGTTCCCCCACAGCCGTCTCTGAAGTTGGGGTCTGAGATACCGTTTGTTGAGTTTCATTTTGAACTTCATTGTGGTCAATGTCTGAATTTATATTTTCAACAATCTCTCTCTCAGTAGTGTTGTCTTCATGAGGTAGATCACCAGGAGGTAGGCCAGCGGGTGCAAGATGTCTCAGGGATACTTGTGATTCTGACCCATCTCTTCTTCTGACGAGAGCGTACTGTGGATTTGATTCCAAAAGTTGAACTGGCTCCACAAGGTCATCATATTTATTAGATCTTACAAACTTTCTAAGCAGGACAGGACCAGGAGCGGATAGCCAAGATGGTAAGGAGTCTCCATTGGTAGATCTTCTGCTATGTATAAAGAATCTTTCGTGCGGTGTGCAGTTTGTCGCAGTGCATAAAAGAGATCTGACTGAGTGAAGTGCCTCCTGTAATACTTCTTCCCATGCAGCAACTGGCAGGTTGTGGTTTTTCAAAGCTAGTAGGATGGTTCGCCATATTGTTCCATTGAAGCGTTCAATCTGAGAGTTCCCTCTAGGGTTATAAGGTGTCGTATGACTTGTAGCTACTCCGTACTTGTGAAGAAAGTCCGTCAGCTCTCGCGACATGAAAGATGAACCTCTATCTGAATGTACAAAGGACGGGGCTCCAAACATAAAAAATAGATCTGAAAAACATCTGATAACTGTTGCTGAACTAATGTCCTTACAGGGGTAAGCAAATACAAAACGAGAATACTCGTCCACCATGGTTAAAAGGTAACGGTTTCTGGTTGTTGATGGAAGAGGGCCCTTAAAGTCAATATTTAGACGTTCGAAGGGAGTGGTTGCCTTTATCAATTTGCCTTGGAATTGGTGAAATCTTGGCTTCACTTCTGCACATGTTTGACAAGCTGACGTCATCCTTTTTACATCATCCAGAGTGTAGTTTAGATTTTTAGTTTTAATCCAATGAAACATTCGAGTGACTCCCGGATGGCAGAGAGATTTGTGTAATTCAAACAACTTAGCATTGTCCCAGCGAACCGCACATGCCCGAGAGAGCGTATCTGCTTTTACATTCTCCCTACCAGGTCGGTACACTATTTCATATTGATAAGGTGTTAGCTCTAGTCGCCATCTCATAACTTTATCGTTCTTGATTTTGCTTGTATGCCTCTTGTCAAAGATAAATGATAAAGCTTGCTGATCCGTGTATAATCTGAAGTCTCTTCCGATAAGAAATGATTTCCATTTTCGAAGGGCTTCGACAATGGCAACGGCTTCTTTTTCAACAGCTGAATACAGCTTCTCCGATTTGTTTAGAGTCCGTGAGAAAAAAGCAATTGGCCGATTATCTTGACTCAAAGTTGCTGCCACGGCTATGTCAGATGCGTCAGTCTCCACTACCAGTGGCTCTTGCCCATTCCTAGGAGTAATTACTGAGTTTGCAATGTCAAGTTTGAGGGCTTCAAAATCTGCAACCGCTTCCTGTGACAAAGGAAAAGAATTGACTTGTGTCAGGTTTCTTATTTTATCAGAAAACCGATGTATCCATTTTGAATAGTGAGCGAAAAATCCTAGGACTCGCTTTAGTGAAACTTGGTCTTTGGGCACAGGAAGTGACAGTAGAGATTCTAGCCGATCTGGATCAGGTCGAATAGAGTTATGGGAAACTAAATGTCCCAACAAGGTTATTGAAGACTGGTTGAACTTGCTCTTTTCGTTGTTGATTACAAGTCCATACTTAGTTACAGCATCTAAAAATGTTCTTAGATTCTCATCATGATCCTTTTGATCCTTTCCACATACGGTCAAATCATCCAGATAGGCATACACTCCATTCAGTTTTTCTTTTCTAATGATTTGGTCCATGGTCTTTTGAAAACATGCCACCCCGTTGGTTACGCCAAATGGGATTCTTCTGAATTGAAAAAGACGACCAGCAGCCTCAAAAGCAGTGTACTTCTTCTCTTCGTCAGAAATTCGTATTTGATAGTATGCTTGCTTTAGATCAATGGCACTAAAAACCTTGTTCGTCGCTACAGTGGATACTAGATCATCTACATTTGGTAAGGGATAGGCGTCTAACAGAATAAATTTGTTTATCGTTTGCGAATAGTCCACACACAGTCGCTTCTTCCCTTTGTCGTTTGTAACAACCAACACTTGTGCACGCCAAGGTGACGAACTAGGTTCAATGATCTCCTCAGTCTGTAGTCTTTCCATTTCTTGTTTTATAAATTGCATATCTTCATCTGAGTAACGTCGTGATTTTGTGGCTATTGGCTTACAATCTGGAGTTAAATTGCAGAATAGTTTGGGTGGTTCAACTTTGGCACAGGAGCACACCAACAGAGGAGGTTTCTTACCTCCAAACCAAACCTGTATATTTGAGTGGAGTTTCATGATATCATGTCCGATAAGCACGTCAGTACAAAGATCTTCAAGAACAGTCAACTTAAAATTGTTGTAATTGTGATTCAACAGATTTAGGTTGATTTTAACAAACCCGTGGACGTTTGATTTCATATTAGAAGCAGCTAGTGATACTTGTCCACTTTCATTATACATTTTAATTTTGTTTAACTGAACAAACTTCAAGTTTACAAAGCTTGATGTACTCCCGGTGTCTATTAAGCAATTTGCTTTCAGGCCATTCACTTTAGCTTCAACTGTAGAGTCCTTCAATACAGATGTATTATGTGTAGTTGCTATTAGTGCAGCTGATGTACTAGACGTCTTCTGTTTTACTTTAAAATGTTGAGTTGGATTACTTTTACAGACTCTCGCATAATGCCCTGTCTTGTTACATTTCCCACAAGTTGCTTCTCTGGCTGGACAGCGATCTCTAGAGTGTCTATCATGTCCACAAAAATAACACTTGCCATCAACATTTTTAATAGCGGAAACAGTCGCTTCTTCCTTTTGTTGTAGTGGGAATTCGTACTGACAAGCTTGCTTTGCCAATTCATTCGTTGCACAAGTTTGCATTCCGTACATAGATTTTGGATAGCTCTCGACTTGAGCTTGAGCCATTTCAAGAGCTCTAGACTGTTCCACTGCTTCAGCTAGGTCTAAAGTTTTATTTTCAAATAGTCTCTGTCGTATGTATGACGAGGCTAAGCCATTGATAAAAGCATCACGAATGTAGTGATCCCTGTATTGAATCGCATTAACAGCTTCAAAAACGCAATCTTGGCTCAAAAGTTTCAGTTCCGAGACATATTTGTCAATAGTCTCACCTTGTTGCTGTTTTCTAGTCATTACTAAATATCTTGAGAATATTTCATTCTTTTGTTTGATGTAAATTGAGTTAAGAACTCTCAAAGCGTCTTGGTAAGTTTCAGATTCCTTGATAAATTTATAAGTAGTAAAAGATAATCGATTAGTTAGTAGTTTCAGTTTGTCCTTGTCTTCAACGAATTCTGTCATGGTTAGAAAGTCTTCGAATGTTTGTAACCAGTGCGTCCATTCCTCTGAGGCAGTTGGAGATTCCGGGTCAATTTGCAATTTGTCTGGTCTAAGGAATTTCTCCATTGTAATGTAGCACTAACTGAGTTTATCAATGAATGAATAAAATTGTTGTAAGAAAGACTTAAAACCAAAAGTATGGCTTTTATTCATTCAAAATTACAACCATGCTTTAGTTAAGAACAAATACAATATTTACAAACAAATCAAATAATAAATATTATCAGGTGATAATGTTCACATCACCACACCGTCAAGGGAGTTCAAGATGTGGTTGTTGATCTCCTTGACGTTCACTATCAGAGTCGAGAGGATTGCGCGTCGCGAACACATATCAGAGTCGAGTAGGACGTTTGCGGGAAAGACGGAATCGACCAAATCAGTCAAAGACGTCACTTGTCTAATCCCGAGCAGCGGAATTAGACTTTGTTCGTTCCGTCCCTCCAAGAAAGTGGTCGAACTGACAGTTCCGTTGCCTACCCTAAGAAGGAATTCGGAATAGGCTGTGGAACTACTAGTCCGATGAGCTGTTGTCAGGGCAAAAATTTTGAAATGCTGCCACAGATGGGAAGCCCGAAGTGAGACACAAACAATGTCAGTTGGAGTACGAGCGTTTACAACGACAGGCGCGATCTGGCGAAAGTCGCCACAACAGAGGAATATTTTACCACCGAATAGCTCACTGGAACGCATGAGGTCTCGCAGGGATCTGTCAAGAACCTCGAAAACGAACCGATGTGCCATCGGGGCCTCATCAAAGACAATGAGCCTTGCGGCCCTGATGAGCTCTGCTCGCTGGGAGCCGTTGGTGATGTTCCAAAAGCCGGTGCCGTCACCAAAGTCGAGTGGCAACCGGAACATGCTGTGAGCTGTAGTTCCACCAGGCATGTTACCCACGGCGATCCCAGAGCTAGCGACTGCCAGTGCAACCTGACGACAACCTCTCACGTATGCGAGAATGACACGAATCAGAGTGGTCTTCCCATAGCCTCCCGGACCGTCAAGAAAAATGATTTTCGACGACGTTCCGCTGGCAGGGGCATTGAGAACGGAGGTAACGTACTCAAATACGCGGTTTTGATCTTCAGAGAGCTTTGGCACCCACTCCTCCACAAACACTCTCTGTTGATTTTCACCGTGTAAGAGCAGTTCTCTGCCCAACTCCGTCGTGTCATCGTGTACATCGGGGAGGCCGTGATCTGCTACGCAAGAACCTTGCCGACGAAGACTCCGATCAATATCGATGAGACCTAGCTTGTAGGCCAGTTCAACATCGAGAGGATTACGCTCTATGTGGTCCTCGCAGATGGAATCACGGAAAGCATCCCACAGGAGAGCTGCAGGAGCCCCCATGTTGCAGAGGATCACAAAGAAAGAACGAAGTCTCGGGCCAGTCATGAAAGTGGCGGCCTCGCGCAGTGCGTAGTGGTACTCCTGTTCGTCTTGCACCAAGCCAAGATGCCGCGCGACCCCTTGAAAAGTGCGGCAGTTTGGTCCACCGCGGGACAGGAGGTCGGCATAACCACGGCAAGATACAGTCATAAGCAGGATACGCAGGTAATACTGTTCTGTCCTGCTCGGAGAGACCCAAAACAGTCTGCACACCTTCTCGCCACGCTGTCGGGCAGTGATAAAATGGACGCCATCGGGGTGCTCGTATATCTCCGCAGTTTTTGGGCGCTTGGCATGAACCACAAACGTTTCATAGAATCCCTGATAAGTCAGGTCGTCAAACAGTGAAATACGAGGCCGGTCAAAGTAGATGGTGAGTTTGGAGCTGTTCCTAGCGGCTGCCTCTGCCAGTTGGCCAGGTCTAAACAGGACGGACTGCTTGCCCTCCAGATGGACGGGAAGACATTCAACCGCCGGCTCAGATTCTGATACTGGAAAGTTTAATAAACGCCAGCACGCGTCACTGGCACCCACCATTCTCTTCGTCACGTAATGCTGTACCTCATCATCTTGCTTACTGAAGGGAGTAACTGTGACGTTCTGGAGAGATCCTCCCTTCATAAGATATTTGAAGAGGTACTTAATCACGCGGCGAGTAGACGCCAGCTCCAAATTGATGTGGGCCTCGTATTTCAACATCAGTGCGGGATTATAAGGCACAACCCAACCGTCATGTACGATAATGTTCTTATTGCGTGATACAATTGTCCCCCGATTGGTATAATCTCGCTTGTACTGGACGAATCCCCTCTCGTCGACGTGGGTGGTTTCACAGCAGGGCTTGGGGAAGTATTTGGTGCAGTAACCCTTTGCAGAGTCCCAACAGAGAAAGTCAGTCCTATGATCATTACCACATGGACCGTGGATCATGTGTTTGAGGACTAACTTCCTCAGTCGGCCTCCGGCCTCTTCTTCCGAGGGAATATCCGCGCGGATGATGGAGTCAATTTCGGACGCCTGAACTGGTCCGTCGCCGTCAATCTTGAATACAATGTGGGCGTGAGGAAGGCCCCTCATTTGCATCTCGATGATGTAGACGATATAGACAGAGCGTCCAAACATTGCTCCGCTGCGCAGGTCTCGGAGAAGTTCCAGAAGTTTGATCCTAAAAACTCTGCAAGCAGTGCTAGGGTCACTGCGAGTACCTCCACGAGGGCAAGCTTTCTTGTTTTCCTCCCAAGTCGCGTTGTACGCAAACGTCAAAAAGAAAGTGGGGAAACCCAGGCGCGATACGATTGCCATAGCGTCTTCGTATTTTACTTTCATGTACCTGGGCCCCCCGGTGAACGAACTTGGGAGGTAGACTTTTCCTGCCTGCACCCCACCCTCACCTTGGACGGTTTCATCACGAGCGATGTCGTTCAATACCTGCTGTGCATTCCGAATCTCGTCAACCGGTCCGACCCGCAAGGCACTATCGGTGTTCTTCAGCTGCGTAAACTTAATATAACGCAGTTTCTCCTCCTCGTACCTCGCGAACATCTCAACCTGCCAAGCTTGTGAGAGACGGCCTAGGTGAGAGAAGCGAGGTTTAGAAAGTAGGAGGCACCGCGAGTACTTAAATTGAGTCAGTTTGGCACCCTTGTTATCAAGGCGACCAACGTGCCATCCCACAGTGCCTTGCGGGTAGAGTAGGGGATATTGGAAAGGTTCCATTAGGGGGTGTAAAAGATCAATAAATGTAGGTCTATCGGAACCGGATTTCCATATTGTCAGTCTCCGGGGCTCAGTGTCGTTTTCATCATTGCTGAGCACGGCGTGCACTTCGACGCCTGTTTGCCGATCACCGAGAACAGGGCCATGGGTAGACCTGCTTGTTACTTCAAAAGCCAAGTGAGCTGTTACGGAAGGCTCGTTGCTCAATCGACGGTAATGCTCAATGTAAGGATTTTCCCTAGACAGGAAATCAGCAATACCGTCGATGATCTCGGCATCAAGCGATCTACCCATCGCAATGTTACGGCGCTCTTCGCCATCGTCAATATACAGGCGGGACCGATTCACAAACTGAACGTTCCCAGAACGAGTGGTGAACTTTTGTCCTGGGGCGTCCAGATTGTAGACCTGGTGGTACATTCTTCCCTCGATCTTGAAAAAAGAAAGACCACTGGGATGACGATACCCGCCTGACACTTCGAGCGCGCAGAAAGCAAACAGGTCGTTGTATGCACGGGCTCTTTCCAGGAAGAGACGGTCAGAATAAAAGCGTTCTTGCAAAGGAGGAAGGTCGAGAACGTTGAACGCTCCTTCCCCGCAGCACCATTGCTTTCTATTCTTCTCCTCCTCGAAGAGCCGTGCTTGGCAATGACGACATCTGTAAACGTCGTCAACCCAGAGACTGACTTTTTTTTAATTTGTATGGTTGTATTTCATTGAGTGGCTCCCCAGTCCAAACAGACATGGGGCCGTTTGTCACTACGGACCGAGCAAGTGATGCGGGCAGATAACGGAGTTCGGAAAGTTTAGGATTTTTCAAACGGAAAATCTGAACTCTTCCAGAAGAAGCTCCGGGATGACGCAAGTCGTACTCTCTAACAGCCTTCCGGTGTATTTCAGGGTGGTTTTGGCTGTAGCGCCCAACAGCCGCCCTGTTTACCTCGGGGTGGTTTTGAGAGTACCGACTATTCTCATCCCTGTGTTGTTCGGGGTGCGTCTCCCTATACTTCTTTTTTGCCGCTCCCACTTGTTCTTCTCTCGTAGTTTCCAAAACCTTCGGACGACCCCGTTTTATTTTTTTTGGTCTACCAGGCCCTTTTGTTTTGTCCACAGCTGTTTGGGAAGGAGATACGGACAAATGGGACAAAACATTGTCTGGACGGTCGGTTGTAACAGATTCATCGATGAAAAATTTTACTTTAGTAATAGAGTATTGTCCACCGATGTACGCCGCATTTACCAGTAAAAGGGATGCTAAAGTAGTGAAATTATCGCACACAAAAACCCTTGCCTTATTCTTGTTCTCATCACTGTCTCGACGACGGCTTTCATTCACCCCATGGGAATCAAAGAGGTAGAGCCGTCCTTGGTAACGCCAAAATGCGACTGCTACCAATTGACCCGTGAACAAAAAGCCGCCATCGACAGAGTCACCGGGCATAGCCGTTTCCAACATCGATGTTAAGTTGCTGGTTACGTCGTCCAAGCTGGCGATGCTACGCGGATATAAACCATCTCCAACAGGAGAGATTTCCTCAATGGCTACACTCTCACCTGCAACCACGAAGTTCCTGGCAAGGTCCTCAGGGAACAGATACCTATGTAGGACGTTATACTCACGGCGAGATTGCGTATACAGACGATCACCGGTCATGAGTATCTCGTCAATAGCGTTGGTACTGAATCCCCCGCGAAAACTTGCCAGGCAAGTGCACAGGCTGCATTAGCCATGCACTGAGCATTTTAAGAACTATTCTTCATAAGAATAACATGGGGCTCGTAAAAACTTTCGAAATTTTGACATTAAACCCAAGTTTTGGGGGTCAAGGAGTAAAGTTACGAAAAAACATGTATTGAGTAAAATTTTAAGTAAAGTAAGGAGAATACAAAGCAATAATAATATTTGCGAAAAGAAGTTATTTAAGTATGGAAAAATAGCGAAAACCGGTAAAAATTTG